TCCTTCTGACCCTCCTCCCTCTCATGCTCTTTGTCTCTCATTCTCTCTCTCGCAAATAAATAAAATCTTAAAAAAAAAAAAAATTAAAAACAAAACAAAACAAAAAACTTTAAACTGGATACACTTGGAACATTTTTCTAAGTCATACTTCTATATAATATTAATGGCTGTACAATATAATGATATATGTGTGTCAATTTTCTTGATACATCTTTTTTTTTGGACACTTAGGTTGCTTCTGAATTTTTTTTTATTATAAAGACATCCATGGGGTAAAGTTTTTGCCTTTATTCATAATTATTTTCCTATGATTAATTTCTGGAAATGAACTTGCTAGATGAAAGTAAATATAAACTTAACCCATTTGCTGTACAGAAAAGCTGTAATTACTTATATCATCAAGTGTAATTCCCCATGTCCAAAGCAGCAGCTGGGCATGATCATAATTTTTAATCTTTGCTAATTTGATTCAGAACAAAGGAACACTTCTGAACATTTTATGAAAGGGTTTACTGCCCTGTTGTTAGTTATCCCCTCTGCATGTTTGCTTACTTTCCTAATGGAGCATTTATTCTAAGAGTACTTTAAAGATGAACTCCCTGCTAGTTATTTCTGTTTCCATTTCTGTTTTGAATTTTGTTTGTGGGATCTTTGTTTTTTTTAGTAAGTTTAAAGTTACGAGGTAGTCAGGTCTGTCTTTCCTTGTTTTGGTTGTTGATGTAAGGCTCGGAGAGCCTTTTCCCCACACCAGGATTACATAAGTAGTCGCCTGTATTTTGTTCTGGGTCCTTATAATTTTTTTAACACTTAAATCTTTAATCCCGTAGAATTGATTTCGGTGATAGGTATGTGGTAGTAACCTAGCTTTACGACTGAGGAGTTTGGTCATGGAGCTTGCCAGCACGTTTTTCTTTAGGAAGGTTATCCTGGCAGAGATGAGCAGAGTGGGTGGGAATGAGGTGAAGGAGAGGAGTCAGGAGGCTGCTGGGCAGCCACGGGGGCGTGGCGGGAGTGGGATCCATGGGGACTGAGCCGAGAAGGAGGTAAGGGCCCTGTGGCTGGAGGGCGAGCAGTGACCCACTGTTGGGTGTGAGTAGAGGAGGCCCTCGGTGGGAGGAAAGGGCAGTTCCATTTGGGGTTCAGTTGAGACATACTGATGATGCTCCCAAAACTGTGAGTCTGAGCCAAAAATATGACATGTCAGCAGCATGTTCTGCTAAGAGCTGTGTGTCACCATGTGATGGATGTCACCAGTTACTACTGAGCACCCACAGTGGTTTTGGGAATCAGAGATGACTGCACAGTGGTGCCTGGTTTTAGGAATCTCCCTGTGGGGGAGCAGACGTGTGAACTGCCAAGGACAGAGGCTGGTAGGGCGCGTGGTGCTCTGCTCACAGAGGTTACACATCTCAAGGAGGGACTGGGGTTGGTGGAGTGCAGGACGCATTCACAGCTGGGGAGAAGGTGACAGCAGTGACAAGGACAGGCTGTGGAGGAGGGGGGCATGCTTGCCATGCTGAGGAGTTTGCACGTGGTTTTCCGTATCAGGGTGAAGGCAGGAGTGCGATGCTGCCACTATCATGGGGGTTGTGTTGCCAGCAGCGGGTTTTTCTTTCCGGAAGCGCATCTTTAGAGTCAGGGTCGAGGAGGGAGGGCAGTGCAGCTTCACGCATGTGTGAAGGATGGCAGCCCACGTTTCGTATGCTCACGCATTCTGCAATCTGTCCCATTCAAAGCTGCAGTACGGTGACAGTAAAGACAATCCTCTTACATACTGGCTGTATAAAGAAGAAGGCGAAAGGAGACACAAGAAGCAGAAAGAACCAGATCGAGAAAGGAAACATGGAGAAAAAAGCAGCACAAGGGAAAAAAGAGAAAAGTATCCAAAAGAAAGAAGAAACTCCTTCTCTGACAAGGAGGGGGAAGAAAGACACAAGGAAAAGCGACACAAGGAAGGTTTTCATTTTGATGAAGAGAGGCGCCAAAGTAACACAGATAAAAAAGAGAGGTTGTCGAGAGAAGATCTTAAGAAAAAGGAGTCCAAGGTACCATTTCTGATGCTTCGTAGCCTCTGTAGTCATCCTAAGACTGGCCCTCTTATTAGAGAAGAATTTTCTCTCTCTGTAGCCAGAGGATAAGACTTGTCTTCGTAAAAACATGATTCAAGTCTGTGTAATGTGATCAATATAGAGAAATTGCTGATATAGTAGGAAATATGAAGTCAGATTTTCTGATTATATTGTGAATGTACTTTATTTTTTTTAAATTTCATTATGTTATGTTAGTCACCATACAGTACATCATTGGTTTTTGATGTGGTGATCCACAATCCATTGTTTTCATATAACACCCAGTGTTCCATGCAGTACATGCCCTCCTTAATACCCATCACCAGGCTAACCCATCCCCCCACGCCCCTCCCCTCTGGAACCCTGTTTGTTTCTCAGGTCCATGGTCTCTCATTGTTCGTCTCCCCCTCTGATTCCCCCCTTTCATTTCTCCCTTCCTTCTCCTAATGTCCTCCATGTTATTCCTTATGTTCCACAGATGAGTGAAACCATATGATAATTGACTTTCTCTGCTTGACTTATTTCACTTAGCATAATCAAGTCAAAAAATGGGCAGAAGACATGAACAGACACTTCTCCAAAGAAGACGTACAAATGGCCAATAGACACATGAAAAAAATTTTCATCATCATTAGCCATCAGGGAAATTCAAGTCAAAACCACATTGAGATACCACCTTACACCAGTTAGAATGGCAAAAATGGACAGGGAAAGAAACAACAAATGTTGGAGAGGTTGTGGAGAAAGGGGAACCCTCTTACACTGTTGGTGGGAATGCAAGTTGGTACAGCCACTCTGGAAAACAGTATGGAGGTTCCTCAAAAAGTTAAAAATAGAGCTACCCTATGACCCAGCAATTGCACTACTGAGTATTTACCCCAAAGACATAGATGTGGTGAAAAGAAGGGCCATATTTTTAACTGTTTTTAAGGCTTTTGGTACACGTTGTGTATTGCCCTCTGGACTTTCTTGGTGGGTCATTTAGTCCTGCCTTTGCTCTGCACTCTTCATCTTCATGGATCCGTCCCCAGGTCTGTGAGCTTTCTCTGCCCTAGGGAGCACTCACCCTGGTCCCCTGGGGTCTTCACCTGTCACATTCCGGCCTCATGCCCTTCCCTCTAGGCCATGCTTCTAGCCAGTCCTTACTCAACAGATGCCTCTTTCTTTAAACCACCTACCTGGATTTCTTGGCTTGCAATCTGATGGTTTTAATGTTATTTTTACAAATTCACTTGATTTGAGAGAATTATAGAAGTAGAATTTATAAAGCAGTTGTTTAAATTTTCTTTTCTATAGGTGGATGAATCTATGAAATAGCCACGTTATATTTGAAAGTTCATAATTTTAAAGCAGTGTAAGGAACTAGTCAGATTTATCTGAAAGTAATGTGAAATTGATAAGTAGAAATGTCTTTTACATACTGAGATAACATATAATCATCTTTTAGTATACCTTTACTCATCTTCCTTGCGTTAATTATGTAATCAGCTGAAGGTAGCTGGTCAAAACAGTTACACCTGTGGTGTTGATGCTTTTGTTAAATTTGGAGTCCATGCTTGTTGTACAGAGTTTACAATTACAGTGACTTCATTATGTTATGCTAATGAGTGTCATGGAATTTTTTGTTTCATAGAACAGTGAACACCGAAACCGGGGTGCAAGTTCAAGGAGAGATCCCACCGGCAGCCGGGAAGGAACGTGCGTTCTCTGGTGACTCTTGTGTGCCCCGTGCTTCTCGTAGAATGTTTGAACATGAGTCTTTCTTATGGGGCCTGATTATAGCCAGTAAATGAGAGTGAATTATAGATACACTTCATTTACTCTTGATACAGCCCCTCCAAATTATATTCTAGGTGCACCTGAGGAGCTTGGAACTTGTTATAAATTCTTAGTCCTATTTTGCTTGTTTTATATTTGCTCACACGAACTTGGAGATCAGTACTCACTTTGGGGTGTGAGTGTGTGAGAGGCGGTTCCAGCCCTGCAGCACTCGATACCTGGAGAGGGCAGGGTTTCTGCAGGTGGGCTCCCACCCCTTTCACTGCCACCGGTGCCCAGACCAGTCAGGGTGCGGACAGCAGATGAAGTCTGTCTAGCCACAGCCAGGGCATGGACGACAGCCTGCTGGAACGGCACGTCTGCCTCTTCTGGGCGTGTTGGGTAGCCCCCCAGAGCCCTTTCTCTGCTGGTAAAAGTCTAGTAACAGTACCTGTTTTTTGTGGGTTTTGTGAAGATCACAGATTAGAGTTTGTAAAATCTCATTTTGTACATAAGCTCTAGATTTCTTTTTTAAGTTTTTATTTAAATTCCAGTGTAGTTCACATACAGTGTAATGTTAGTATGAGGGGTACAATGTAGTGATTCAGCACGTCCATGCACCACCCGGTGCTCATCCCCAGCCTGTTTCCCCCGTTCCCCACCCCGCACCCCTCTGGTCACCAGCAGCGTGTTCTCTGGAGTTAAGAGTCTGTTTCTTGGTTTGCCTCTCTTTTTTCCCCCTTTCCTCATTTGTTTCAATTCTTAAAGTCCACATATGAGTGAGATCATATGGTATTTGTCTTTCTCTGACTGACTTATTTCACTTAGCAGAATACTCTCTTGCTCCCATCCATGTTCTTGCAAATGGCAGGATCTCATTCTTTTTTTGGGATTGCCTAATAAAATTACAGGAGTGTTCTAGAATTCTCATAAGGATAGAGAGTCATACACACATACAACTTTGTCAAAATACATAGTTTCTTCTCTCTGCTGAGGCTGTTTTCTTTCTTGGATTGCTGCTGAAATACCAACAGTGTAGGAAGACTTTAGTGTCCACAGTTGTAACGAGACATGCTTCAGACATGTGATGGGACATACCAGATACCGATAAGAGCCTTCATGGAGGTGAAAAATGCTTTATGTCTCAAGTCTTTGTTTAAAATTAATTTTGAGGGGCGCCTGGGTGGCTCAGTCGTTAAGCGTGTGCCTTCGGCTCAGGTCATGATCCCAGGGTCCTGGGATCGAGCCCCGCATCGGGCTCCCTG